GATCCATACATTGGTAATGTCTGACTGGGCCTCGTGACACTTTATGTTCACAAATTGGGCCCTGAGGTCAAAAAGGTTAAGAAGCCCTGGTCTAACGGACCATGAATCTGACTGATTTTATCAATTCAACTGTTTGATGTGAACATATCTCTTGTGCACATGCGAATCAACTTCTAACTGTGTTTACCTTGAAGTACGCTGGATATAAGCTGGTGGTTGTTAAAGGGGTGCAACAGATGTCAAAGGTCGAGTTACAGTTTATGTCAATTCAGGGTTTTTATTAGAAAACAGTTACACATGTTTTGCCAGAAGGTGGCAGCAAGAAGGTAAACTGTAATTGACCAATATGATAAGGGGCATTTGAACTTTTTCATCTGCTTGATTAGTGATGAGTAGTTAGCTGGACATTTGGTTGGTGGTCTGTTAAAGTAGAATAATCTTCAGCTAATTTCTGATGTAGAAAGGGGGTCTGAGGAGATGGTTTAGCACAGTGGTTTCTCAGTTGTTGTTGGTGTTTTTTTCATAAGGGTGTATTCAAAGACCATCTCCCAGACAACGATAGCTTCAGCATCATCGGAGCAAAACCCACCCTTGGCCTACCAGATGAGACAACAGGAGGATTCCATCCCTGGGACCATCACACGATCCAGACTGAGAGGACAAGGAGTGACGGTGTGTAGAAAAAAGCCCCAACGTCCAAACGTTGTTTAGCTGACATTTTAAGTGATTAAAGGTAACACTGATATAAAAACACAAACGTAGCAGGCATGAACTTAGTTGAGGCCAATCATAATTGTTGCTAATTATAATCAATGATTTTTACTGTTCGTTGTATGGTTGAWCTGTTAATAAGCTAAGGTTAAAATATGAAACACTAAGATGATATTGTGGGGACTAATTGAATCAGGTTGATCTGTGGGCGGAGCCAAATACCAAAAGATGATCAGAAGGTAAGATGGAGAACCACTGAAGGCTTCTCCCTACAGAAGGGTATAGGTTAGGAAAACTATACCCTCATTGGAAAGATAGGGCAGATAACCTGAGTCAGTTAAAAGCCTATGTAATTCCAGGATGTGTTTTCTACTTTGTATTGTTGGGGTAGAATAAATGAATTATTTTACTTAATACCAGGGGTGGGATGTCAGTAAATTTACATGAGGTGCTGTCACACTTAGGATAATTGCAGACACATAGTGCATTAATGCGAACATATAGGGTTTTTAATTATAAATTTCCTTAATGACTCGTTGTCATGTGAACAGGGGGAGTTGAATAAATTTATTGGAGTGTTTACTACTGACTTTTAAAGACACTACACATTGTATAGTCTTTTATTAGGTGAACAGTAATATATTTCTATAATGTGGTTATCTCTGGTTGAATTGATGATTTTATGTGCAGACTGGGTTGTGGGACTCTTGATCAGGGTTTCACAGACTCAGGAGGCTTTTAGTCAGATACATGTCTGATTTAAAACAGCACATATAAGAACAGTGATCAAACATTAGGGTGAGGAATAATGTCTGACATCTTGACTACATAAAGAAATAGCCTGCCCCTTTAACATTTGTCATGAGGCGGAGTCAGGATGCGAAGAGGATGGTTACTTGAGGTGTTTCCTGGTTCTGGAGACTGTTTACCTGATGCCTGTCGGAGGCAGATTAAAACAAAAGCTAACTAGACATGGGTTTTTACGATGTAAAAACAAGTGTGCATTGCCAAGTAGCATGTTATTGCAGCATGGCTTTGCCTGCAGCAATGGACTTTCAGAATGAACTTTGACCAAGTTCAAATGTGTTTTCTAAACCAGCTTGTGCCTGTCACGTCAGCAGGTGTTTGTAATTAAGGTAATTGAGTGACAATATGAAGTTTGAAGAGATTTTTGTTAAAGTAGCAGTAGCTGGATTTGACCCCTGATCTCCTGCATGAAAGCTCACAGTGCTCATCATGAGACTATAGGAGATGTGGCAGAGGACGATCCCAGGGATTGGATTGTATGTATACAGAAAAAGTTTACCTTGCCAATGCAATTATTGACACTTAAGTGCAATATATTACAGCAATAGGACAACATAAAGACAGTATTACAGTAAAACATCAAAATACAATCATATTAACATTGTAATCACTGAAGTACTGAGTTTAAATATTATGAAACTATGGTGCAGTACCATATTGTGTAGATACAGCAGGGGGCAGTATTGGACCAATACAAGGCTCCATTGACTGCCATTATAATTTATTAAACATTAATATTTCAAAAACTATAAGTTTTACAGGCACCAAAAGGCATAGCCATCATTTGGCACAGGGGCTTTACAGATATAAATTACAATGGCAGCTCTAGGACAAAGTATGCAGGAGGAGAAGCATGGCAAAGTGGAGATGACTTGGATGGGAAATGAATCACAATAGTGTGCATTGCATTGGCAATGCACACTGATTAGTCCACAGCTGTGTCTGGATGGTTTGTATGGCTCACTCAAACCTTCACATGTCATTATTATTAACTGGTGTTAGATCTGAACAAGTAAAGAGCATTGCTTGAATTTTAACAGCTTAATAACGTGACCAGTAACGACAGGTACCCAGTCCCTCACATTCAGGACGTTTCTGTCCATCTGGCAGGGGCAACCATTATTTCAAAGGTAGATCTGGTGCTGGGATATCATCAGGACCCTCTCCATCTGTCTGACGTACCCAAAACCGCTGTTATAACTCATTTTGGGCTTTTTTCAGTTTTTGCAGATGCCTTTTGACCTTTTGTGATTGCCTGATAGTAAAACATAACACGGACCTAATAATCTTTAATAACTCAGAAATGAAAGCAGCACAAACGGACCACTAAAAAGGTAGATCGCTTTGGTTTGTTTTGGAGCAAGATGGTGTGCTGGTGACGTCATCGGCGAGTGAGAGCTCTTATGTGAGACACAAATTACCTAATTTCCCTCTGGGATCAATAAAGTATTTTTGAATTTGAATTGAATTGAATTGAAATGCTAAAAAGTAAAGGGAGCTATAAGGGACAAAGAGATTTTTCCCCCAGAAGTGGTGATGCTTAAAATAGGACAATGTTTACCAGTCACCTTAGGCAAAGCTGTCATAAAGACAAAACAGTGGGAGACTGTTGTTACAGAAGGGTGTGTGAATGAGTGTTTAGTGCCTATTCAACATATCCATCCTCTTAGATGTTTTTACAAAAATAAAATAAAATAACCTTCAATGCCAAAGTGAAGTCAAATGAATACAGAGTAACAACAATTAAAAAATATGTAGTGTAAAATTAGTGATTCAGCTCCTAATTCAAAGACAAAAGTCAGAGGAGGGTTACAAAAGGATTCTGAAGGCCACGAACATCCCAGGAGTTAAATCAATCATTAAGACATGGAAGGAGACTGTGCAACCACCAAGATTACTGACTGCTCTCATGGTTTTACTGTCCATGCCACAGCAGGTCAGATGGGAGAGGCTATGAACACAGCAACTGTTTCCCAGTTCTTCACCAGTCTGAACTTTAGTGTGGCAAAGCAAAAGACACTCTTGAGGAAAACTCATTAAATTTAAATTAGAGTTTGTCAGACTATGAGATTTCCTCTGGCTAGGCTCTTGCGATCAAAATATTAAATGAGCTTTTCACCTATCTGTGTTGTGGAACAGTTGCTTTAGAAAATAAATCTACTTTTACACAAGCTCCTTATTCGTTTAGCAAACGATAAAAACTGGACAGAATCATATAATATCTTACATCTACTTGAGCCTAATAAATTTTAAAGATGTTCAACAACACTCAAGTTTGGTGTTTCATTGAACTGATAGCTCCTGAAAAGTGGTCTTGGTTTGGAAGACCCTGGGTGCACCTCAGTTCGTGACCACACACTACCCCATTACCATAGTGATCTGTTTCATATCAGACTTAAAATGCATTGGGACATGTATTTACACGTCTTTTCACTGGAAGAATACATGTAAATAAATAAAAAAAATATATATTAATAATTTGGGTTTAGCTCCAGTATCAGTACTTGTAGTTGCATTTTATTTAACCTGCTGTTGCAGCATGAATTTGAATGGCTAAGTTGTTAAAATTACTTTTAAAAATAAATTCAGTTCATGATGAATTTTCAAACTATGCCTACTTGGTAAAAAAAAACTCAGCCGTTTTCATTTCTCTGTTTAGTTTGCTGTCGGTGAATTGAATCCTGGGACATCCTCGGCCGGTAAGGATCCTCGGATGTGTCCTTGGTTTTCGACATATTGTGGGCTGTATTCCTCAGCCTTATGAGGAGGAGCCTTTGAATTGGGACAGGACTCGGCGCAGGGCAGTGATGTATGCGGCAGACACACTCATGAGTATGCAGCCCCTGAATGGAGACACAGCCCTTCAATGCCTGTTGTTGTTTTCTCACCTCCAGCTGGACCTTCTGCTCCAGGTTTTTGTATGTTCTTTGTAAAAGCTCCTTAGTCCCCAAAACACCATACCACATCATGTTTTTGGTACGACTCCTGTGTTGAAAAGATGCAAAGGAGAAAACAGTTTATTCATCATCATCGTTGAAGGAATTCATTAGTTAGTTAGATACTGATTGAAGCACCACACCGTTTGTCTTAGTTTCCTTTTTAAGGCTTGAATTTTATAATGTCCTGATTAAAATAGTTTTAGCTACATGCGCAAAACATCATGACAACACAGATAAAACCATTATAAATTCATTAGGAAAGATATTTTCTGTAAGAGTTGCCTGCGATTCAGCCGTAGACCTGTAGTGGGCGCACCAGGCACTGAAGATCCCTGCATGAAAAGGCAGCGCTGCTTTGCTTCTCCAGCCGTGAGCAATAAAGCTTCGCTCAAAACCAGATGTGGGGTTGTGTGGTTCCATTCTCTTCACATTTTAATCTATTCAATATTTATGTGGTTTTGTCATAATTTCAGTTAACGAACACGAAATATTCTTACATCATCATCATCATCAACATATCTTTATTCCAGACAGATAAAACGGTCCATAGTAAAATACAAAAAAAATAATTATAATAATAATAAAACACGTACAAAAGATAAATATATATAATTTTTTTTTATTTTTCTAAAGAAAGAGAAAAAAACAGCACATCATATCGTTCACTGTGTCACAAATAAATGAGTGGTGATGGAATCATGATGTAAATCTTACTGTACTCAGTGCGGGGTTTAATAAAATTACAGTTATATTATTGCATGAGACAGATAATTTACACATGCATTAATACATTAATAATGGCCTGAGCACAGCTGGAAATGTGAACACAGCATTATTTACCAACAGTTGGCCAGCACTACACCATCTAGGCACTTTATAACTAGTAGCCTCATACCAGCTTCTTTTGTGTCGTGTCCACAGATTGCCAGTATATAGTGGAGTATAAAAGGAMAAGATAGATCTGTACAGAGGATGAGCACATACCAAATTTTCTGATGTGCGTACATCAGACTATACTGCCTACAGAAGTCACGGTCGTCAGACAGGCCATCATTTATGTAATGTTGTGAATATTTAACCTCATTACATATGCTGAGAACAGTACTAGACAAGAAAAAAATCAGGGATTATCAGATGCTTACCTTCATTTCTTCTAACAATCATAATATTGCTTTTCTTGGCATTATACCTGATGCCAGCACTGTATGGACATAGGACAACCAAATTATCTGCATGCATTATATGAATGATCATACAGTCACCAACTACACAGACTGTTTTGCAACAATTTGGAAACTTTGACAGTTCATCCATATAGATATTAAAAAGGTAAGAGGACAGTATACTTCCCTGCCTTACTCTATAACCAACATTAAATGAATGGACACAGTGTTGCCCCATTAAACTGACTGATACCCATACCAGTAAATAAGAATTCTTGGGTATGCCTCTTGTAACTTATAAAACAACTAATATTACCAGCTTTGTCCTTAATAATAGGTAATGGTTTAATAGATAACATTGAATCAGGTAACAAACCAGTGAAACACTAATGGACAGTTTCCCACTTGCATTTTTCGTATGCTCAGTAGAAATGTTATCCATCCCTTGTTCCCTTTCAGAGTCATAACAGCCGGTTCGGATGTTATCAGTCCATTAAATGGACGTTATTAGCAGTTATCAGTCCCGTAGAATGGCTTCAGACTGTCCCGACTAGGGGTGTAAGAAAATATCGATACACTGAAATATCGCAATATTTCATTTCCCGATACTGTAATGATTGGGCTTTTTGAGTTTCACAATTTGTCACACACACCAGAGAAGATTTAAACAGTTTATTAGAAAAGTGGAGCAGACTTGCGTCACCGGAGTCCTCCTAGCGAGCGGCGCTGTCGGGGGAATCCCTTGGATGACGTCACCTGACAGGGGTGACGAAAGGCGAGGATCCAGGAGCCAGAGCGTGGG